TATATGAAAAAGTTTTTAATATAATAGAAATAATTAATGTTATGCTTATATGAAATACTGTAATTTACGTTTATATAATTTTATAATTTTTCTATTATTTAAATTTTTCACCGTAAAGCAGGTAACTAAAAGTACAAAAAGAATGAGGTAATTATTCGTTAACAATGGATTACGAGTCTTTAAAAAGCATATAATGAGCATGTGAATAAAAAAACAGGAACACGTAGCTTTATGTATATATTTTTCCAAATTAGTTCCATATGAAACCACGTGTTCTCCTCTACCTTTCTCTTTGCACCCTACATGTCGAATGATTCAAGAACGATTCGTCCACGATGTCTTTATTCGATGACCCTGACAAAATGAGATAATTCATCTAACAATCAACTCGTACGTCATGTTATAAACTATCATGTATATATATTCTGCAAAAAATAAGAACTTTATTTTTGGACTCGCAATGCGTAATGAAGCTAAATTTGTTCCATCAGTCTAATTCGATAGATCGGACGTTAGATGAATCATTCAATTATACGATACGTCACCGAATCAGCAAATCATGGGACGAATCGTCTGCTGCTACCGTTATTGTCGAACACGAACGGATGTAAAGACGCAGACGAGAAAGCAGACGGCCGATCGCAAGGAACGAAGAAACAAACAGTGCGAAGAAAATAAATTCGGAAATATCGGAAGTAACAATAACAGCTGCGATTGGAATGCGTGGAATGAGCTGCTTTGGATGTGTAGCCGTTAAGATACGTTAGCCACCCCTCCCCTGTTCGCGCGGGGAAATATCATGCCCGCATATCCGCCTATCTCACGTCATTCACTATCCATCACTAACCACAAGTACAATTACTATCACCACCACATGATCAGCCATCACCGTCATCATCACGGTCACCACGAGTCATCACTCATCGACAACACAACAACCACAACAACTACTACCACAACTACAAGTACAACATCACTACGTAGCTCGAAATTAGGGACTGGCGATACGCACGTGACTTCCCACCCCACGAGGCTCTGCCATGGAGGACCCAACAGGTACACTAATTGCACACGTTAATGCTAATTGGACCTGGTTTAGGTGCGAAGCTAATTATCTGAAATCGCTTCGATCCACGGGAATTTCTCTTTTCTCCAATGAAGAATTTATATGGGTAGTAATATAATATTAGAGATAATCTCTCTTAAAGTCTCGAACAATCAATTGCTTTCTAATAGAATGTATCACACGTGTACATATACATAAGTATACGCCTTGAAAAATATTTGCCTGCAAGAGAGCCACCGTATGCAAAAAGAGATCCTCGCGAAATGTCATTCGCGAATATTTTACAAAGTAGATGTAAAAAATAAATATAATATAGCACGAGTCACATTAAAAAATATATATATGTATGTACTTTATTATTATATTTTAATTTGTAGTTATGTAAAATTTACGTCTGATTTTTTACAATTAACCATTATTGCAAGTAAAAAGTCATTAATCTGCGCGTTAAATATTTTTCAACGTTAAACGTTAGAATATCTATCTCGAGGTAATGAGTCTAAATGTTTTTTAAGCACCAATTTGTTTAAAGATTTGATTGCATTTAACATTTATGCTTTCACGTTCACAAGAAACATAAATGTTAAATAGTTTAAAACGTGTATTTCTAGCTAAGAGATAGGAATTTCTTCGCGATGTCAAAATTATTTCGAAATGAAATCACATTCAGCCGTTAATATTTGTTCATCATTATTTACGCACGCTCACGCATGCTGAATTAGGAGCCGAATTAAACGCCGTGCGCGAATATAATCTGTCTAAGCCTCTTCCTTCTTACGTCCATCGAGATTAATTGCACGTTCGTCATCTTCATCGTGTCGCTGCTTAAAATTCTCTCCGATACTTCATTCATCGTCGTGTACTATGTCTCTGCCTGTGTATGCCTGAATATGTGCGCATCGTACAGTGGCTCTCGATCAGTGGTACATGCTAAATTCACGTAAGTTGTCGCTGTTAAACATGCACACGGACGCTGCGATGTTGAGATAAGTGTAGGAAAGGTCGAAGGTATAGCATCGAATCTAATTGATAACATCTAATTTAACATACTGCCAGTGATATTGGCTAATAATATTTGAGAATTTATAAATTGCGAATTGTAATAAGAAAAAGGAGATAAAAGGAAACATAAAAGTATGATTTTGATTTTTTTCTAGAAAAAATATTATATATAAAGTTGTAAATTTCGAGATTTATAATTTCTACAGTATCAAAATGCACATGTAGAATTCTACGTTATTAAATTCCTTTAAATGTTATTTATAGATTATTCTATAGTTTCTATAAGGATTATTATTAATTTGCAAATGATACGACCTCTTGAGAGAATTAATAATCAGCTAATTGTTGATCATTATAAAGATTTAGTTATTGTCCGCAACATATTGTTACAAATTTCATCTTTT